CGTGCCAAGGACGCCTACCTGCAGGGCTTGGCCCGGAGGATCTGCGCCCCGCACAGCCCGGAGCCGCAGGGCCGCAAGTCCGGTAATAGAGCGGGCGGCCTGGGGGCTCGGGGAGAAGGGGCGCCTTCCCGCGGGGCTGGGGAGCCGGCGGCGCGGGGCACGTGTCGGGAGCCGGAGGGGAAGAAATGGGGTGTGGGAGGCGCTCCTCCGTGGGGGCCGGGGGCTCCGTTTGGAGGCGTGCGGGCGGGGAGGCGGCTGGACGCGGAGAGCGCCGGGGACCGGTGTCACTGCGGCCCCCTCCTGTGGGCCTGGCGCCGTGGCGGCGGAGGAGGGTGGGGGGCTCCCGCCGCGGGGCGTCTGCAGGGCTCGGGGGGCGGCGCCAGGGCCCTGGAAGCTGGGAGCTGGGACTGGGAGCTGCTGCCCGGCCCGGAGGAGGGGAGCGCAGCAAGGTCTGCGTGGGGCCACTGGAGACAAACGCCCTCTTCACTCTGTGGATGAGCTGAAATTGGGGCATAACCTCCAGACTGAAAGTTCTAGGGAACACCTGATGAGCCCCACACGCACACACCCCGATTCCCGCATCTCCAGAGGACTGTTCCCTTTGCTGTAGTCAGCAAATGCTCCATAACCTAGTTGCTGGGGGCTCAGACTTTGGAGAGCGGCTCCCTTGGGTCCTCGCTGAGTGGGGGCCTGCCTCTGAGTGCCCAGGGGGCGCCCACTCGCCAGGCCAGCTGTGAAACTGCTGCTCGGCGCTTAGACATGGGCACCTCTCTGTTTTCTCTGAAGTTTGTAGTTTCGAGTGTCCGCAGTTCCCCCGACATCTCAGCGAAGCCACTGGAGACATCCCTGCTGGTGAATGGGTTGCTGAGTGGGATGGTTGCCCTTTCATTCCGTATTTCAGGTGGCAAGCCTCGGGGCACAGAAGCCACTGGGTCCCCAAGTAAGAAGAGGAGAAAAGCCCAGAAGAAAGTCCGGGAGCGGAAGCCGAAGGCTGCGGAGCCCAAGGCCCAGTCCCGGCCCCAGACGACTCCAGTAGTTTCTGGGGCCAGGGAGCCCGCAGCCGCCAAGGGTGAGGCAGCCAGGTCCAGGGGCCCCCTGCAGGTGGGACTCCGCGGACTACACAGGGCACACAGAGGCCACCCCAGGTTTCCCGAAGGGCAGGCTCTCAGAGGGCAGGTCCTGGGGCTCTCAGGTGGGTGGACCCCAGGGGGTGCACGGTGGTTCCAAGATGCTGGGGCCCAGGACAGCTTCTCTGGAGGATTTCCCCTGCCCTCGTCTCTAGCCCACCATGAGCGCCGACTTGTTCTTGGGGCCTCCAGGCTGCAGAAGTGGGGTGAAGTGGAGGCAGGGTTAGCTTCCAACTTAAACCACAAAGGAATCCTGTTTTGGAGGCAGAACGTGCTGGGACTGCCCTGCAATCCACCAGGGGTGCAGCGTGTGCAGCCGTGCTTGGCAGCGGGGCCCTGGGCGCAGCTCCCTCATCCCCTGCGTCTTCTCTCGCAGGTGATCCTGCCGCAGAGCCTGGCTCCCTCTCCGCCCTGGATGTTCTGCGGCAGCGTCTACATGAGAAGATACAGGAGGCCCGAGGCCAGGTTGGTGGGCAGGCTTTCTGGGTGCCAAGGTGGTCTCCACACCCTGTCTGGAGGGCGCCGTGCTCACCCGCGTGCACCTGCCACTCTTATGGGGGGGGGGCCTGGACCACCCACCCTTCCAGCTGCTGGCTCCTCTCCTGCAGCCTTGGCGAGCCTCAGCCTCTTCCCCCGGGGCCCCGCTCGGGCGGTGTTCCTGTCTGCCTCCACCGTGACAGGGCTGAGATGAGGCACAGCCATGGGCGGTGTCGGGACTAGAACCAGCCTCGGCTCTTTCTGCTGGCCGGGTCGCCCAGGCCCTCCACTCTGGCTCCACTTGCCCTTTACCTGGGCAGGCCCAGGCCTGATTCCACAGAGCTGGTCTAGGCATGGGTGGGGGGGTCTTGGGGCATCTGGGCTGGAGCCTCCTGCCGCAGGAGGGGAGAGGGACAGGCTGCTGGCTGTGTCACCAGCGGAGCAGCGCCATGTGAGCGTGGCTGGGTTGGCGACCTGGGCAGTGCTGGAGGACTACATCTCCCTGGGGGCTGTTGGTGGACTCGGGCTCCTATTTCTTCCACGGTCACCTGTGTTGGGGACAAGCTGTCTCACTGGGACACTGAGCCCGGTGCGGGCGCCGGTGGTGGCGGCGGGGGGGGGGGTGCTTCTCCCCAGCCCGCAGGCTCCTGAGCCAGGCGCCGTCCCTCCCCGCAGAGCGGCCCCGGGGCGCTGTCTCCAGCAGTTCTAGAGAAGCGCAGGCGCAGGAAGCAGGAGCGGGAGCGGAAGAAGAGGAAGCAGAAGGAGCTGCGGGCCAAGGAGAAGGCGGCCACGGCGGCCCCCCAGCCGCCTCCCCAGGCGCCTCCCCAGGCGCCCAGTGACCAGGCGCAGGGCCCGCCCGGGCTGCTCTTCAACAAGGTGGGCGCGCGCAGGCCCGGCCCGCGGGGCGGGGCGTGGGCGCCGCTGACACAGGCCTCTCCCAGGTGGAGGTGGGCGAGGACGGGCCGGCCGGCCGGGCGCAGCGCAGGAAGGAGAAGAGGCAGAGGGTGAAGGGGAACCTGACGCCGCTGAGCGGGCGCAACTACCGGCAGCTGCTGGAGCGGCTGCAGGCCCGGCGCGCGCGGCTGGACGAGCTGCGGGAGCGGGACG